CTGTTTCGCTTTATTTCATTTTATTTAAAAGGTGGAGTCAAGATTCTCGCCCCCTCATTCCCCCCCCCAATGGGGTGCTCTTCATGAAAAAAAAACACCAGCGTAAACATATTTTGAAGAAAGAACTTTAAATAAAGATCTCTTCCTCTCCTCTTTTTCTTTACTTTCAGCCTCAGGTAAATCTTTTTCCCTTGTGGGGGGGGGGAAGGGCAAGATCCGTGGATCCCTGCCATGGGATCCATGGTCAGATCCAAGAGTAGGCCACGCTTGCCCAACGTGCTGTTTCAGTGGGGAGGGTTGTGGCCCCGGAGACCCAAAAAGTAAGGACACCCCCTCGGTGGTGGTGGTGGTGGTACCCCTGCAGCAGTTCTCCCATTTGCCACAGCCTGGGTCGGTGGCCTGAAGAAAACCACTATCTTCGGCCCACGTTTAAGGAAGCCTTAACTATTTATTTGTTTATTAGATTTTTATTTGTTATAAATGAATCTCCTTCCTTGGAAGAGGGAGTTCGAACTCTGTGCCTCTTGGGTTCAGGTCTGTGATTCTGTGGTTGTGTGGGTGTCCAGGCCGTGGCTCGAGAGGGATCACGAAGGCCCGCCTGGCAGGGTTGTACTGGGTGAATTGCTTCTGTCAGGGGTGAGGAGGCAGGCAGACCCTCTAGGAATAGGCAGGGTTATCTTTTTTTTTCCCTTCAGAAGGCTGTTGTTTGTCTTGCTTGTGTCCAACTCTGAAAAGTGTTCTAAGTTAAGCCATCCTTGAGGGGGGCCATTTGGCCTCTGGCCCCCCCCCCCGGGCTTCGAAGGGGGCCACAGACTGGGAACAGTTCTTCCCACACACCTGATAAGGTTCGTTATTCGACTTAGGCAATCCTCATTCTGCCAGTCTTGTTTTGTGTTTATGCCTGTGGCCAGAAAAAGATCGAGAATGGAACAACAACCCTGAAAGGTAGAAAATAGTTATAACCTGATGACAGCCTTGTGAGGTCGAGGGCTGACAGCTTGTCCAGGCCAACTTTAGACTTAATGGCTGCTCTCTTTGAGTTCTTGTACAAAAACTGACTGTCATCGAAGTGAACAACAGGAATTTGACCCAACTCCGGGAGGCAGTGGAAGACAGGAGGGCCTGGCGTGCTCTGGTCCATGGGGTCACGAAGAGTCGGACATGACTTAACAACAACAACAAGCTGAAAGGCAGGATGACTTTTGTTCTGAGTTGGGTGGCTGATCTTTCATCCTGCAAGGAGAATGCTGTATCTCTTCATTGTGTTGGGAAGAGCCCTGTGTGCCGAAAACACTAGCCCACACACACCGAAGAGTGAGTCCCCTTTGAATCCAGAGGGGTTTACTTCCAAGTAAGTGTGCACAGGATTGTGGTGGGACTGATCCTAGTATTTTCCAATCATTTTGGACTTCAAACCCTAGGTCGTATTAGGCTATTCTGACAGCACATAACAGAACACACACTCTCTTCCTATGGATTAAGGGAAGAATTGCTGTACTGTGGCTTTGTGTCATGTATTAGCTGCATTTTTAGGGATATGATTAGGAGGAACTCTGGACTCACGGATTAGACTGTGAAATAATATTCGAGGAAAACTTCCTCTTACTGAGTCATAGTTAGGTTATTTGATGTATTTGTTTTGATCTTCCCACATCCTTTTGTGTTATACAGAACCTTTTTCTTTTTTAGATAGACAGAAACTTAGTACTTTCTTTTTTGTTCTTGTTGTCCTGAGGTAAGGAATAGCATTTTGTTTTGCTCTATTAACTTCTGTGGCAGCCACCAGATGTGTTCCTCTGGAATTTGGGAAGGCTGATCTGTGGGGATACTAATAGAAAAATGTGGTTGTTTAGAGTATGATGAAAGTGAAAGTCTTCAGTGCCTGAAATTAGCACTTAGACCTCATCTTGTGGGACATCAGCAGTCAGTCCATGGCCTGGAGAACATTCAGTTCTATAGTAAGCAGGCAGGCAGAGAAATTGTGTTTTATTTCCTACACGTGGATTTTCCCAAACCATGAAATACAAACTATGCACTGCTATCACAGTTTGATTTTCTGTGAGAAGCTTGAGGAATGCAGTGTATTTTGGCTTCCTTTTTCGGGTTGGCATGGGAAACAACATGAAATTACTCCAACTATGAATGTTCTCCAGCTTCAAATGTCTGCTGCCTTATGACAGCTTTTGAAAGAAAGAATCTGTACAGCAGGCCTTGCAAGGAGAAGATAATGCTGTCTTTGTTCAGCTGTGGAATGACACTTCCATTTAAAAACCCTTAACATGTCAATGCTGAACCCATTTGATTGAAAGTAGGTCCTGATGATTTTCCTTGATTTTTTTTTGCATAATTGTGTTAAAAATGGGATGTGTAAGGCTTGATGCTGAAAGAAAGCTTTATTTAAGTGTTATCTATGAGCCCCTAAATATTGCTCTTGAGCTTATAAGAAAGATAGAAGTAGAAATGTATTTTTGACATAATTTAGGAAAACCACATTGATTAAGTGGTTGGTCATGTACCTTAAAAGTGGGATTTATACTCACTAAGCTATATATTCATCTTTGTGGTGCTTTCTGTACCCCCACTGCTAACAAGGATGACAGAAAACAGGTTTCCACAGATGAATGCTCGAACAGGGAAAGGACAGAAAATGCAGCAAGTGGGTGCTGTGGTTAAGTAGAAGAAATCCAAGTTTTGAACAGTTATGAGTATGCAAAAGGGATTGAGGGAGCCTGTAACTTTTTACCTTGGCTTTATCAGTGTAGCGCACAAGCCACATGGTTATCTCTACAGATTGCCATTTCCTTGGTTTGCTTAAGGTGTTTCTTCTATAACTTCAAGTAGTGTTCTCCCAATTTCATGTGGGTGTTATTGTGACACTTGAAGAACACCAGCATAACTCGGTAGGTTGACAAATTGGCACAAGTTAAGAAAATAGCAGGGGCCTTTATTGTTGTTCGCCAAATTTCCTTCACTAGCTTCTTAACTTACAGCAGTTTGCCAACAACATTTATACCAGTTGCAGTTTCCATGACAGTTTTGTTATCCCAGGGCTTTGGGCCTTTGTATTTTTATTGACTACGATCTTTTTTAAAAAAAACTGTGGTGTTATATGACAGCATCTGTGTTCCATGAAAGAAACTTTCTGAAAAATGTGTTCTATCATCCACTGTTTTTCATTTCATTCTGACCTCCCTGCCCCAAATATATAAAACTGCCAGCCTCAGGGTGACAATTCATTCATCCTAAGAAGTGGCCTGTGTTTCTGAAAAAAAAAATAGACATGTTGAATCAGTGAGTTATGCAGCAGTTTTGCCTTAAAAGGTCTTATTAATTTCAATGGGTCATCTCTAGTTCAGACTAATCAGTTGAACTTATCCCTTAGTCCTTAAGGTGAGACAAGATTTCCTTGATTTGTCTAAAACAGTCATTTTAGACAAATAAAGAGAAATTGCATCATGTGCAGTGATTGCTCAAGGTAGAGAAGAATTTGGGACAATTAAAAACTTTAACATACTGCTATGACTATCTTCTGTAGAGAGAGCTGCCACTGTAGATCAGCCTGTGGCAGTACCTGCATTTGGCAGAATAGTATTATTATTATTTATTTTATTTATTTATATCCCGCCTATCTAGTCGGTTAAGACCACTCTAGGCGGTCTATTGACTGTCTGATCTGTGGGATCCTGTTCTTCGTCTCCATGGGGACAAAAAAGGCTAGGTAATGGTTAGAATAGATTACTCATCTACATTCCTTACCTCTCTGACTCCCAGTAATGGGAAACAGGAAATGACTGTGTGAGAAGAACAGTAAACTGAAATTGGACAGGCTGAGAGCTGAGTTTGGGCTCTGTCGAGATCTTAGGGTTATGCTTCCACATAAGTATTGGAAGCTAGATTGGTTAATACTGGCCATGACCTCTGGGGAGGATTTGCAGCTTAAAATGCAGAGAGGTTTAGAGATTAGCTTTATTGTGTGACAGGGGTCTTGCTTTGACCCTCCTGCTAGGCTGTAAAAGGATGGACAGAGCAATAAGAATAAGGGAAGCATAAATTGTCATGGAAAGCCCAATGAAAGAAGTGATCTTTTGCATTAAGATACACATCTTTGATGTTGAAATGGTTCCTTTTTAAAAACATATATCTTAGTCTTGTACTTTGGGATGGAGAAAAAAGTGTTGACCTGGAAGTGCCCCATACTGAGCAGTGAAAGATCCTGCAGCCACGTTGCCTTCAGCCCAGGTTTCTGGTCCCGTAGATTAGCTAAAATCCTGTGGGATTCTGTTCTAAGCATGAAAATATTGAATATCCTTAGCATCTTCTTTCAGTTTGATGAAGTACTCAGAGTAAGGACTTTTCTGGGCCTGCCTGTCCATTTCCAACTACAAAGAGAGA